TAGTTTAAATTAGAGTTAATTATACTCGGGCCTCCGTGTATAGATTAATCTAAATAAACGATCCAAATAATGTTTTTGGGTTAAAATGAGAACTGCAATTTTGTTTTATGTTTCTGACTTCCTCTAAATGTAATATTCTAAACTAGGAATCTGCCAACGGCTGGTTGGCAGGATTCTGCTAACATGCAAGTCACTCATTGGCTAAAAGATGCTGCTTTCAGCCAATAGGAATCCTAAATGTGTATGGACCACCCGTCGTGGTGGTCGAAAATGTATGTAGCCATTGGTGTACCATACACCAAGGTCGAGAAAGTCTTTCGAACCTCCAACAGACGTCGTGTCTGTTAAAGTCACAAGTGACTGTAGCCACTTGTGCGTGTAACCCTGTTACAACAATATATCGCTTGGTATTATCTGGACCAGTTGGCGACTTTTCCGCAACATTCTTCTTGCTCGGGCTGGCCACAGACACCATGGGATCCCAGGCTCAACTGATGCAACGTATCGGTTGGCAGCCAACTACTGGGCGCTGATAGCATTTGGTTGCTCGGGCGTCGAGTACAACGGACCGGATGAGTATTCGCACAGATTCTACCCATTTGCGTAGATGTTCGTGCGGTCGGAGACGGCGCGAGCTTACAGCGAACTCTTCCATGTGGCCAAGGAATAAAGTAAAGCGTTCATTGGATACACCCTAAAGTTGCAGTTCGGGTCATTGGACCACGCTGATAGCATTGCGAATGCGTACCAAGAACACTGGAAAGACATCGTTCTGCTCAGCTATTGGCCTCATCTTGCCGGGAATCTGCTCAAGAAGAAGAGTGTTCTTAGCGACGGTGAACGTTACGAGGGAATCATCAAACCACAAGTCAAGTACCTCCACGAGTCTCGACGTGCAGCACAATTCCGATCTCTAGTTAGTCTCGTCACGAAGAACTGGGTTGCAGTGGGTGAGAAAAAATTGTGTGATGGTTCAAACAGCAGTACCTTTCACACAAGTAGAAACTGTGGTACTACGCAGCCAGCATAGTGGCAGGTAAAACTCCAAACCAAAACGCGATTAAATCGCACAATCGAGATATCAAGCGTGTTGTCGACGCTGAGCTGTACGCTTCAACCAGTCGTCATCAATGTCAGTTTCCCTCCAATTGTGGCGCATTTCGGTACGGCACGTGATCGCAATCTTCATCGACGGATTTCGTACCCGATTACCCCGTATGCTGTAGGAACAATTCCAATCGAATATGCTCGAAAGGCTGACATCCTTACGCAAAACGGAAACTTTTGGAAGTTGGAAAATCGCAGCCGTACGAAGGTGACGGGAATCCTGTTTAACGTTCGGGCAGTAATGATCGGTGGTGAAGCAGTAAACCCAACACCAATCGACGAAGGGAGAGTCCAGATGTACAACAACTCGCGTCGTGGTCGTCTCAACGGTAACGACGGGCCGCAACACATTCAGCAGCATTACTTGTGTTTGCATCACACCAAGAGGCTAAGTGAAGAAGCCTTTGCGCACGATTGGGAGTCAGCGACCTGGTGCGACCGAGAGGTAAAGTGTACGGTTAAGATTGGCATTTTACTATTACTAACTTCTTGTTTGTATGTACTACAGATATTACGCATTCGCAGCAATTTTGCATGTGGCTGCAAGGCCTTTTTTCGAATCGGGATGGATCTGCGCACACGTGCTGGCTGCGCTCAAAATCTCTGACAACTTTGACCTGAAGTGGCTGCTAAAACATCGTTGCCGGCAAAGAACCCTCCTGGACGACCACGAAAAGTCTCAAACCCCAAGCAAGGGGACGGTCCAAACGACGGTCAGTACTCGGTATCGAAGCTCATTGAAAGATTGACCAGATCTCCCGGTGCATTATGGGGTGGAATGTAATGGTTAGACAGGAGGCAACCAACGAAAATGGGGACTCGATTTACACCAACCTTACTGGAGTAATTTGCCCATGGACTGAAAAGCAGGAGCGGTACTTCTGGGTCATCGAATTCGACCGCCAGGTTGATCCGGATTCGAATGTGGACATTGAAGAGCTCGCAGAGATCATCAACTACACATATCGCTCGCAATACCCATTCATTAGGGGGTTTCAGACATCACATCTTTTGCAAAAATCCGTTGCAAAAAATGAGACAAACGATGAGGCGAAAAATAACAGCCAAACTCTGAAACCCTAAAATTCCTCCTATTCGCAAGTGCAAATTTTTCATTGGCTTGCGGCATGCCACTGCGCCGCGAGCTAGCAGCAACAAATCCTGTGTCGCTGCTGTACGGCGCCGCCCCACGCAGCTTCTGGCCTGGACACCCACTCCTAGCAGGGTGAGGTAAGGCAGTAAGCATCGCTAGACAGACCCAGGTCGCTACTGGATTGATGCTCATAGATAACTGATGGCCATATTAACTCTTTAGGCAGGTCACTCCAAGTCTGTCGCCACACTTCATCGTGGGGCAAGCTGCTTCCGTTTGAGGCTCGCTGCGTCGTGGTCTGGTAGCAGAAGCATACCGAAGCATGCCCGCCACCGAGAAAAGCAAGATTGTCTGCGCTGGATCGCGATGTCGGTCTGGGGATTCTCGCTGTCATTGTAAAGGTAGGATCATCTACTATCAAGCTCAACAGGTAGTCGAACGTTGCAGCATCGACACGAACGGATTGCCGAAACGCTTTTGGGGTCTGCTCAAAGAGGTTGTATCTGTGTGAGGTAGAGCGATGCTGCTTTTCGCGCGGCTCTGTGTAACGCGTCTGCATTAGGCCCGTGTAGAGATCGGCTAGTTCCGAAGCTTCGTCTCCTTCAGCATCAAATTGCCCCCACTCGTCGTCGTCGCCCTTGCTGTTGCCTTCAGACTCGCTCCAGCTGCCACTTTCACCATCGTCATCAAGCTCTTCTAGCAGTGCTTCTTGGAACAGCGCGCTTGACACAGTTAGCAGTGACGCTGGAATGGTGTGGCACGTTTGGAAACGGCAACACGTGTGGGCGAATCGCTCACACCTACGGGCTCGGTACTGGTACAGTTTCGGAGTTTGTCGAGCGTGTTCGCAAATCGCTACTCCGGTACTATTCACGCTTTGTTGCGTGGCCATCCGAAACGAAGCGAGTGACGTCATCAGCTTTTCACCGTGAGCGCTATGGTCTTAGCGGATGTGTTGGGTTTGTGGACGGAACCTACGTGAACTTTTCCCAAAAATTGATGGCCATCACGGGGTGGCCAGGTCATGTGGAGATTGGTCTTCTCACATTCTCAAGTCGGCAAGAACCCTGAGCGGTACTTCTCTAGCAGTGAATAATTGATTGGTGATAGTGGGTATGCTCTCTCGGAGCGTCTTATCACGCCGTACAAGATGCCGCGGGCTGCTCGAGTTGAAAATGCTGCGTTCAACACCATTGTTTCCAGGGCCCGAGTGGTGAATGAAAATTGCATTGGAACCCTGAAGAACCGATGTCGTCGCTGTATGGTGTGCGTACGCAGATCAAGGAAACAAAAGACTTTGAAAAAGTCAACAACCACATTTTGTTGTGTTTTCTTCCATCACCATGCGCCATTGTCTTACCCTTCGTTGAGTTCCCAGCGATCACGTTATAGTTTTCAGGAATTTCCAGCCAACGCACCATTGCGTCAATCTGATACGGTGTGGTGTGGTATCCAACGGCCGAGGCGTCTTCCGCTGGCTGGACGGATTGAAGCGAAGCACGGGCCTTCTTCCGCGTTTTAGTTGATTTCTTGGACTGGCGCTTAGGAGGCATTGTAACCTGCTCAATATCGATAAACCATCGTCAGCATTAGCATTGAAAACACCGCAATTGAGCACACAGGAGGCTGTCAAGGAAAGTAGGAGAACTTACCCACTCTGAAAGCTGGTTTGGTGCTTCACGCGTTACAGGTAAGCGCAGGAGCACTTGTCGTTGTTGCGCTGAAGATAAGAAAAGGATCACACATAGGCGTTCTCATTAAAAGACACACACACACAACATACGAGTTCTACTTGATCGGAGAGATGGTGAGCTTACCCGCGATGTCTGACAGCAATGAGCACGCGTCCAGGCCCGCGTGAGCGCTGGTCGAAGGCAACGACGGTAATACCAACACTCTGAGTGGCTTCCGCACTCTGCGCTGAGTTGAAGTTGAATAACCTACCAGGATATACTCTTCATATAGCATTAATTCTAAAAATGCTGTGTGATACTGTCCCACCAACGATAAGATCCTCGAACAATGAGCAGGATAAGATGAGTCCAACGCGGGTTATTTTTAGCCTCATCGTTTGCAAACGATGACACCAAAGATAAGACAAACGGGTGCGAAGTCTGAAACCCCCTATTCGCCGGTTATGAACTCATAGAGGCTCCAACATAGGATTCTTCTTAACTACAACAATAAATACATATTTTGGTATCTCAAAGCACACGTGAAAAGCATTCGCTCCCACACGTGAAAAACATTCGACCACCCGATATCCACACTTGGATTTCAGCCCACACGTGAAAAACAATTTTTTTCACGTGAAAAAATTCTTTTGTCTATCTAAGCGTTTGTATGCGGATTAACTAGTGTTGGACACATAACTCAGGGGAGTTCCCTGAGGGGACAAGGAGTAAAGGTATAGGCCAGAAGGCCTTTAGATGGAGGTATAGGCCATGATGTTCCTGATCCGAGCGGGGCCGGCTCGCTTAACCCCAACGACCACACGTTGTATCTGACAACATGTCACATGTTGTATATTTTAGACATACAACATGTTTTAATAGGGATTGGCTCTAAAAACGGCAAAAGTATACTTAAATCAAGTATAAGCAAATCTGGGACATAACAAGGCGACCTCCCCGATGCACAGGGGTTGGTGGGTTTGGGTTTGGAACAGAGAAGCCACAGCAAAAAGCTGTCCCAGCTCCCTCTCTTCTGAAATCAGGGGCTGATGCTCATTTGAAGAATCGCCGGCTGAGACGCAAGACCACAGAAGTGCCAATGGGACCAAAGCGCGCCCCCCCAGCGAGAAACCCGCAGTGAGCACCAGCGCTTTTTGCAGCGCTTGGAAGGACGGAGCGCGGGGGAGAGGCGGCGTCTCCAGAAGGAGCATACGGATTTCCTGGCAGGGCGCCGCGACACCGACGCGGACTTTGGTGACGATTGCTCGTCGCCACCGGCACGCACGCCTCGGCCGTATGTACCGCCGCCGATGGGCAAGAGCGTGTCGTTCATGGAGAGGCAGAAGCAGTTGGCCTCGGAGCAGCGGCGTGTGGTGGCTGCCAAAACATTGGCAGGTTCTGGCAAGAAGGCGCATCCACGACGCAAGCAGAAGTCGGTGCATGCGGAATTCATCTCGGAGGACGAAGCCGACGACGAAGATGATGACTACGAGGATGAAGAGGCCAACGAATACGACGACGATGAGAAGGAGCTGGAGGATCTAGAGGAAGAGGAAGTGGTGTCGCCGGAGACGACGAAGGCGAAGGGCAAGGCGAAGGGCAAGGCGAAGGCGAAGCAGAAGCCCAAGACCCAGGCGAAGAAGCCGCGAAAGTCAACGGCTGCGCAGCTTGCGAAAGAGATCAAAGAGGCGCGGCGCGCTGCTGCCGAGCTGCGTTGCATTGCGTCGGCAGCAGCTGAAGAGGAAGGCGCGGCTGAGCTGGATCAAACACGGAAGAAGATTGATGAAGCGAAGAAGAAGACGACGAAGAAGAAGAAGGACAATAATGTGGAAACTTCTCCTTCATCGAACGGCAGCACGACGCCTGTGTCTGAGCAGCGGCCATCGTCGGCGTCGCCGCAGCCAAGGTACAACTTATCTATTTGGTGGACCATCCAACATGTACTAACTGTTGATGTTGTATTTCTTGTAGTCTGGTACAGCATGAAGATCATACAACAAGTGGAGTGGTGGATGACACAACATGCGCAGGTGGAGAAAGGTACAACATCGCATGGCATAGTATACAACATATGCGACATACTACATGATAATGACTGACGCTTTGATTTGATTATACTATAGGAGCGTCTCCGCACTTCAAAGTCCGACACGCGATTCGACTGATAAAGCCGCCGAATCATCCCAGCCTCAAGCGGCCGAGTATGAGGTGCTCAACTTAGACTGCGAAGACGTCGAAACGTAGACTGGCTTCTATGACGATGATGAGGAGTTCCAGCGTACCAATGACGACCGGCACAGAGATGGTACTGCAGACGAAAGCAGCGAGTGGGATGATGCAATGAACGCCAGCGGGTCCGAGATTGATGACATGCCAGCTGCTGGGGGTGAAACTCGGTCAGCCGACGCTGAAACCACACCAGCGGAATCGAGTTGTGATCGCCCTGCTCGTGACTGAAGAGAGCTGCACAAGGACGAGATGAGCGCGTTTGCCCAGGATGAGGACAACATGGCGGACATGCGATCAAGTGGCTGGGAGTTTGGTACGTGATCATCGGATGTTGGCATATACAGCATGTACTCACGAAATCATGTTGTCTGTGGCGTCATGTAGATCCGGCGAAGTTTCCTCCGGATGCGAGGTACCCAGGCTTATACACAGGAGCGTACGGTCCGACTTCTGAAGTGTTGGAGCTGGCAGAGTCGCCGCTGGATTTGTTTCTATTCTTCATGCCGAAGAAGTTCTGGAGAAAGGTGGCAGCAGAATCGAATCGGTACTTCCTGCAGAACCTGGCCGCACGAGTCGACCGAATGTATGCCAATCAAAAGACGCCGGGCAAGAAAACAAGGGATGAGCTCATGATGCGCGAGGCGAAGAAAGACGACATTGAAGCTCACGAGATTATGCACGTCCTGGGATTGCTGCTGGCGCGGATGCTGAACCCACGGCACTGCTGTTTTCGAGACCATTGGTCTACGGAAAGGGTTGGAGCTGTGGCACGCGGAACGTTCAACGACTACATGCCTCGTCATCGATTCGAGCATATCATGGCTAACGTACACTTCACGAACAACGCCGACCCTCAAGCAGCATCGGACAGGGCGTGGAAAGTGCGCTCCGTGGTCAAGACGCTGCGGGAAACCTTCCCGCGAGGATATACTACACCCCCGGTCGTATCGTTCGATAAAGGCGTCATACCCTCCCGCTACCGAAACAACCCGACCCGCCAATACCTCAAGAACAAGCCGCAGAAGTGGGGCACCAAGCTCTTCCTGACATGCTGTGCAGACACAGCTTACTATATGCGGTAAGGAGAACACGACGCGGACCCGCGTCGTTTTTTTTTGCTTAAGTCAATATGTTGTATCTAACACCTGATTGTAATTTGTGATGTTGGATTATACAACATATAGTCTTGAGGTATATTGTGGAAAATCCCAGCATGCAGCGGAACTAGGCAACGTGCCGGACAGCCAGCGTTCTGCAGACCAAAATTCAGGGCCAGCAGCAGTGATCCGCAACCTTGAGGCTGTTCTACCACCACCACAAGACGATGTCTATCACCTCGTGGTGACGGATAGATTCTACACATCGGTCCAGCTCGCGCTTCAGCTACTACAGCGCAATGTGTATTCAATTGGAACTATCACGGGTGATAAAGTCGGATATCCACAAGAGATCGTGGAAAAGAACCGCAATCGCCCTAAGCGCGTGCAGCACGGAGAGGTAAGGATGGCGGTGGCTCGGAACTGTGGGTTGATGACGGGATTAGTTTGGTGGGACCGGAAGCCCGTTCAGTTCTTAGGAACCGGATCAAGCAGAGCAATGGAAACATGCCGTAAGTACAAACTAAATTATCTATTTTACTATCGAGGCTAACTGTGCTTTTTGTAACATTGTAGAGCGACTAACACGGGGCACAGGAGGTAGACGCCATGATGTTCCCTGCCCGTCCATGGTGCGTGATTACCACCAGTGGATGGGTGGAGTGGATATCCACGATCAACTCCGACTCCAGCACTATTCTCTGCAAGGACAGACGTGGTGCAAGAAGTGCTACAAGTCTATCTTCTTGGGACTGGTAGACGTGGCAATCGTGAAGGCCTACATCGTATTCCGGGAGGCGGTCAAGCGCATGGATCTCAAGCCACGAACTTTTGCTGGAGCTACACGCCCAGTTATTGCAGCTCAAGAAAGAAGAGTGGGTAAGTTGTATGGGGTACATGTTGTATGCGAGTGCGTTCGCTGAGCGTGCAGATACATGTTGTATGGGGTCCATGTTGTCGCTAACATTGCTACTCTAGCCTACAGCAAGTGGAGAAGACGACGAAGATGCGAACTTATGGCGCCCTTGCAAAAGGACCACGAGCCGGTAGAATGCCCAGACTGGCAGATCGTGAACGGCGTTCGTAAGCGTCGGCAGCGGCAGTGCAAGGCGTGCTCAATTCTAAAGCGCAAGGTTGGAGAGCGCTGCGCTACCAAGTACTACTGTGCAGCATGCAGCAAGTCGGACACAGCACGGTACGTAGTTCATTTTGGAGAAGTTGGTGATGTTTATCTAACTAGCTTTCTGCAGTTTGTACCTGTGCAACAAGGCCTAGAAACACTACCCAGGGAACTCCATGACGTGCTTTCTAATTTGGCACAATAAGTGGGAAAACGGGCGCAAACGTCCGCACCCGCGTTGTGGGCGCGACATCCAGGCTCGGGCCGCTAGTACTGGCGGAGATAAGAAGCGCAAGCGCCAGGATTCTGAAGAAGACGCCGAAGAAAAGGAGGATAAGGATGAAGAGCAGGAAGCTAGCGAGGAGTAAGCTGGGGGCGACGTGGCTTCGCCTAGTTGTAGAGGTGAGGCTTCCGGAGATGTCGCCAATGAGTAGGGAAACTTTGACTGGTAGCGAGGAAGGCCATTGGTCAGTTAGGTGAGCAAGCATGCGTTTTGTCTTTTGATATGATGATGTGTCATCCTCTTATAGCCGTCTCTGTCTCCTCTGGCCAGTCTCTTGATATAAAGGTCACTGCACCTCCCTCCCAAACTCGATATCATGGTATGCCTTACAACATGATTAGCGTAGCCACGCTGTACCTACAACATGCTAGAGGATTTGCTGAGAGGTCTCATGTCGCGTTTTTCAGAAAAACGCCACGTACTTTAACGGGACCATAGTGAAATTAAGTGTCCGGTGTCTATAACAAGCTGTATCGTACAACATCTGAAAAACTCGATTATGTCCGAAAAATGGCTTGGGCGTTGGGGGGGGGGGGGGTTAATGCCATTTTAGAATTTGCTGAACAGGAGAACGGACATGAACTGGATGCTAACATAAGGACAACAATAAACAGCAACCTGCGCTTGAGTCTTCAGGTACTCCCATGAATAATGGCAAAACTTGGCCTTAACTTTGTTTTAACTGGTTGTACTATATGATGCGGGGTATTTCCCAAAAAGTGGACCCCCTCCACCTGCCATTTCCCAAAAGGTGCCCCCCCTGAGAATAGTGTGGTGCACACTATTGGAGGCCCGCCCACAAACACATCGCTCAGTCGCCAAGAGTCCTCAGAGTTCACACAGGGCCCGCACGGCAGCCCGCCCACAAGTCAGCGAGCAGCCCCCACCCCGACATGCACTGCGAGGCCGGCAGTCAGTGACCGGCCACCACTCATCCAGAGGCCGGAACGAAGTGCGAGGCCGGCAACCAGTGCGAGGGCGGCAGTCAGTGCGAGGCCGGCAACCAGTGCGAGACCGGCAACCAGTGCGAGGCCGGCAACCAGTGAGCGCCGGCAACCAGTGAGCGCCGGCAGTGTAACGGGGTTACACGTACAAGTGGCTACAGTTACTTGTTACTCTAACAGATGCGATGTCTGTTAGAGGTTTAAACACTTCCTCGACCTTGGTGTATGGTACACCAATGGCTACATACATTTTCGACCACCACGACGGGTGGTCCATACACATTTAGGATTCCTATTGGCTGAAAGCAGCATCTTTTAGCCAATGAGTGACTTGCATGTTAGCAGAATCCTGCCAACCAGCCGTTGGCAGATTCCTAGTTTAGAATATTACATTTAGAGGAAGTCAGAAACATAAAACAAAATTGCAGTTCTCATTTTAACCCAAAAACATTATTTGGATCGTTTATTTAGATTAATCTATACACGGAGGCCCGAGTATAATTAACTCTAATTTAAACTAAGCTACGCTTCCTCACATACACGCGCACACGTGTAAGCTAAAGTAGTGAGCCAAAGTAGGCCCATTACACCTGGTAGAACTTTGTAGTCCGTCCAACGACCGACTACCTGAACGTTCGTACGGAGCTGTACGAACGAGGAGCCGAGAACCTTTTCATGAGCGCGGAGGTGCCCATGGAAAGCTCCACTTCGCCTGCAACTCATGTTGCACGCGCTAACTGCCTCCACCTGTCGGATCCAGAGTGGGAGGCACTTCAACGACTGTCAACAGTCATTGGAGAAGCGGCTGTAGCTGTAATGCTGCGCACACTATCGCCGACGGAGCAACACGGTGTTGCTCTGGGATTCATCATGAAGGAGCAGCGTGATGCTGCTTCCTCTATCACGGTGGCGTCGGGGACGACACCGCGCGAGCAAACGTTGAAGCTAAATGTGAGCAACTATGTCAGAAGAGAGGGCGAGCCTCTCCTCCGTTGGCTTGTCGAACTCGACACTGCCATCGCGGCTCAACGTATCGTCGACCCGTTGTCCGAGGTTACGTTCGCCGTGGCATGGCTTGGCGGACGAGCGAGAAGTTGGGCGTATGGACGCCGACTCTGATCCTATGTGCTTCAGCACGTATGAGGGTTCAAGGAGGAACTCAGACAAGCGTTTGAGCCCCCGCAAAATGAGTTTCGGTCGAGGGCACAGTTCCTCGAGCTACAGCAGGGTAAGCATGATGTCCATGCTTACGCGCAGAGAGCACAGTACTTGGTCTCGAACATCGTGACCAATCCGATCGACGAGGCGACCAAGGTCGTCACGTTCATGAAGGGGCTGAGAGATGGGCCTGTGAAGACCTATCTCTTCCGTGAGTACCCGAGTACTCTCGAAGCTGCAATTACTCTTGCAATGCAGGAGGAGTTTAGCCTGCGGCAGGCTAAGCTGCATGCACATGTGCCGAGGCCACAGCCACGCCCGGTAGTGAGGAAGGGAGGCCCAGAACTCGTGGACCTCTCGAGTGCTGCAACTGCTGGACCCCAGCAGTCGCAGGGAAACAATGTGCGATGCTACCGATGCGGTAGAGTCGGTCACTTTGCTCGGGAGTGCACGGCCCCCGTGCACCAGCAGGGTGGCTATCGCGGCGGTGCCGGGGCACCGTCGCAACCAAACAAAAAACGCTGGACGCCAGTAGGCGCGGGGAGCCCTACTGGAAATGCAGTTCCGCGTGTCGACCTTGGACACGCGACACTGAGGACTGCAGCCCCCAGTGAGTTTCATTCTCACTGCAAGAACCAAGATGACAAGCCTGACCTTGTCATCCTGAATGGGAACTCGATGAGAGCAAGCGGCTCTCTCCGTGCTTTGGTAGATTCTGGTGCGTCGAAGAACTTTGTTCGACTGCGAAGTCTATCAAGGCTTGACTTCGAGTATTTAAAGATACATCGAAGTATGTTGGAAGTACGACTGGCAACGGGTGCCGTCGTGAAGACCGAGAAGCGCATGGTACGCGTGCGCTTCACGTATGAAGATCAAGAGTTTGTCGAGACCCTTATCGTCCTGGATCTGGACGATAAGTTTGACATTGTATTGGGCATGCCGTGGCTTGCACAGCATGATCCGGTCATCGATTGGGAGAAGCGCACTCTCGTGCGCTTCGGTCGCGACAGCGGAACAGTGAGCGACGGCCCTGGGCGCGCGCGAGCACACGCGCAAGAGCAGCTAGCGTCGGCGTTGCCGCCGACAGCTAATGAAGGAAATGTGTTGACCTCGGAGGTCGACACCCGCTTTTCAGCGAATCAGGAAGAGTCTCCGGCCTCAAGGGGCACGGATGACGCAGGCGAGTCACACGCCTCAGCCGTGGAGGCTGACGCGAATCTGATTAGATCAGGTCTGGCCAATAATAAGAGCCAAGGTGGCGTAACGCCGTCGACTCCGGGAGTCGATGGCTTGGGTGAATTTGATTCGTCGGCTCGGGGAGCCGACGCTGCAGGCGGTGCGGACGGTTGCAAACGTCCCGCACCGGAAAAACTTGCATGCTATCGTGCAGCCGGGCTGCACGACGAAGCGCCGGGCGACCAAGCCGGGCTTGAAGTCGCTCGCCCGCGGGATGAACCCGCCGGCGGTACTAAAGAAGAACACCCGTCCACGGCTGGGCCTGGACGAGGTCAAGAACCAAGCGGAGCCGGGCTCCGCAAAACAAGAAGACGGCGCATGCGAAGGTCGCTGCGCAAGTCTCGGCCTGGGGCCGAGACGCTACAAGGAATGTCTGCCGGGCAGACGGAGGCTGAGAAGCCGGACGTCGAGACGCTGAACGTCTTGACGCATACCTGTGCCGGGTTTCGGTACAGGGAGATGACTCTCGCTAACCCTCCGACGCAAGCGTCGGAGTTGACTTCGCTTCCAGGCATGAGCTGGAAGCGCTTCGCGCGTGACTTGCACGATGGACGCATCGAGCAAATATGCATTCTCTCGGACGCCGAGAGAACGAAGAGCGAGAATGAAGAACTGAGGCAGTTCTTCATGGAGACCACCACTGAGAGCGAGTACACTCTCAGTGCGAAGACGAAGAAGGAGCGCTTTGAAGAGCAGAGCTGGGACTCGTTTTCAACGAGTCCCTACTACGAGATCTTACGGGAGTACGCGGACGTACTTCCGGAAGAGATTCCTGCGGAGCTTCCGCAGGATAAGGGCATCCAGCACGAGATTGATCTCGTGCCGGGGACGAAGTACTGTGTCACGCGGCAGTGGCCACTGCCGCGAGAGCAGGTCAAAGCGATCGACGACTTCTTCGAAAGTCGTCGCAAAGCTGGACAAGTGCGGGAATCGAAGTCCCCGCACAGTGCTCCGACGTTCTGTGTCAAGAAGCCACAGGGCGGCTGGCGCATCGTTCATGCGTATAACAAGCTGAACGATGCGACGATACCGGCGCAGACACCGATACCGCGAAAAGATGTTATCATCGATTCGATGGCCAGGAGCACTATCTACAGTGCTCTTGATCTGCGCGATGGGTTCTATCAGATCCTCATGCGTGAGAGCGATATCCCTGTCACGGCTGTGAGCACGCCGAGCGGCATGCTCTGGGAGTGGCTAGTGATGCCGCAGGGTCTGAAGAACGCCCCTGCGACCTTCAACAGGTGCGTGACGCACTTGTTGCGCTCGGTGCGCGACTTCGCACCGAGCTACTTCGACGATGTGTTCGTCCACAGCCGGGCTGCGGACGGGATGAGCGATGTTGAGATGCACAAGGTGCATCTCCGGAAGCTGCTTGCGCTCATGCGCAAGCACAAGCTCTATGCGAACCTGAAGAAGTGCATCTTCGGGGCGAGCGAGATACCCGTGCTCGGGTGTCTCGTCGGGAAGAACGGTGTCCGCCCTGACCCTGAGAAGGTCAGAGTGATCAATGAGTGGCCGACGCCGTCGAACGTCAAGGAACTGCGGCAGTTCCTTGGCTTGGCCACGTACTTGTCCAAGTACATGAAGGACTACGCGGGCATGATACGCCCGCTGTCACAGCTCCTGAAGAAGGACGCCGAGTGGGTTTGGACTGCTGAGTGTCAGCAGGCCTTCGATGCAATCAAGCGGGGCTTGACTGAGGCGCCGATCTTGGCGGTGGCCGACCAAGATCGCCCATTCCACGTTGTATGTGACGCATCCGACTTCACAATCGGATGTGCGTTGATGCAGCACGATCACGAGGGTCGTGATCGTGTCGTCTACTACCAATCGCGTCAGCTGAAGCCAGCTGAGCGCAACTACCCGGTACATGACAAGGAGCTCCTTGCCATGAAGTATGCACTCGCGAAGTTCCGAGTGTATCTACTCGGAAGCAAACCGTTCGTGGTCTACCCAGACCACACGTCGCTGCGGACAGCTGTGAAGTCGCCGCACATCTCGCAACGGATGGCGAGATGGCTCTCATTCTTCGCAGAGTATAACTTCCGGGTTGAGTACAAACCCGGAAGACTCAATGTGGTGGCCGACGCGCTCTCGCGTCAACCTGACTACGCCACGACTGATGCCGACGTCAATGCCATTGACGCCATACGATCGAGCACCCCAACGTCGTCACTGTTGGGCGACGTGAAGGTCGCGTACGCGCACGACGCGGACGCGAAGCTCTTGCTGGCCTACGGCTCAGCGCCTTCTGACCAAGCTCGTCAGAAGCTGCCGAAGCATCTTCGTGCTCGTGCACACCGTTACCGGGTGCACGACGGGTTATTACTCTACACTGCAGTCGACGACAACGCGGACCGCGTTGTCGTGCCCAATGACCATGACCTGCGACTCAGGATCATGTACGAGTATCACGATGCACCGACTGCGGGGCATCCGGGCCGTGAGAAGACATACCTTCTTCTCACGCGAGACTTCTACTGGGCCCACCAGTACAAATGGGCGCGCAAGTACGTCCGTGCTTGCGAGGTTTGTCAACGTGTGAAGCCTGCGCCTTTCGCGCAGGCTCCCTTGCAGTCACTACCAACTCCACGAGAGTGTTGGCAGTCCATGTCTTTGGACTTCGTGTTCGGTCTTTCACCGGACGTCAGGGGAACACGGGCGTTGTGGTCTTTGTTGACCGCTTCAGCAAGATGATACATCTTGCTGAAGCAAGATGATACATCTTGCTGCGGTACCCGCTGAAGTGACTGCGAAGCAGACTGCACGTCTGTTCGTCGACATGGTGTTTAAACACCATGGCATGCCGATCGACATTGTGTCGGGTCGAGACCCGCGCTTCACTGCGCACCTTTGGCAAGAAGTGTTTACACTTCTTGGGAGTCAACTTTCGATGTCGACTGCGGACCATCCGCAGACGGACGGGCAGACCGAGCGCGTGAACCGCGTGCTCGTAGACGTGCTTAAGAGCTATGCTCACTCGTTCCAACACTGGAGCGAGTGTCTGCCGATGGCGGAGTTCGCCATCAACAACTCGGCGCATGCCTCGACTGGGCATACACCATTCTACGTGAATGCCATGAGGCACCCACGCCTCCCGAGTCTACTCGGGATGGTGGCTCCTTCCTTAAGTGGGGGAGGATCTCCGACTGCACCGCAGCAGCCGCAGAATGCCGCTGACACTTGCACAGTGTCAGCCGCGACTACGCGCTAAAAGAAGAAGAAACACGCGTCTGTGCAGGACACAGACGCCGACAAGAGCAAGAAGAAGAAGAACGGGTCTGTGCAGGGCACAGACACCGCGAAGACGAACGCAGATGCCGGGCCTACTGCTAGAAACGAGCTGAACGAGTCCAGCTCGGACGCAATCAACTTCGTGCAGCGCAGACAAGCCGTCATTCGGTTTGTCCAAGACACTATTGCAGCTTCTGTCGACCGACAGAAGCTGAACGCAGACAATGTTGGTAGGGGCAACACTAATGAATTCAAGAAGGGTTCATTGGTTTTGTTAGCTACTCAAAACCTGCCTAAACATGCCGTTTCCGACTTCGGGGCGAGCAAGCTCGCTCCGCGCTTCATCGGACCGTTCACTGTGTTGGCACGACATGGCAACGCCTACACGCTAGACATTCCATCTAGCATGCGCCTCCATCCGACCTTTTACGTCGGGCGGCTGAAGCCATACCTGCAGCACGAGCCACCTAGCTCGGCTGGCCCGAAGCGGAAGCTCCAGCGCGTGAACGCGCTGGACCAAGCGTGCGACGCGACCTCCCACGTCGACAGAGATGGATGCCCGACGCGGTCTGCGAACCCTGAGCGACTTGAGCCCTCAGGATCGCCACCTCCTGCTTCAGAGCGGCGAACTCCCGGCTCAGATGCTGTTCCACAGCAGCGACACGCTCCTCGAGCGTCGGACCAAGGTCAACCCCAGGTTGACCATACCCGGGGCGTGTTCCCACCACCGCCGCCTCCGATCCGCGACGCCCGCGGCTCAACACGCTGGATTGTTGAGCGTATTGTGAACCATAGTATCCCGAAAACGAACCGGCAGCCTGTTCGTTATCGTATTCGTTAGAGAAGGTTTCCGCCCCACCAAGATACATGGGAGCCACGGGACGTCCTGCTGCAGGACGTTCCGGAAATGGTGAAGGCGTACGAAGCTCACCACGCACTGCCGACGCGAAAGTAGTGCGAGCGCTGTGGTCACCTACAGCGCCCGAAGTCCCACGATCGTCGCGTTCCTCGCGTGCCAAGAACTTGGCGCGGCGATCCTTGAGACTCGCAGGTACCCGAATCGTCGTGTACCCGTTTAGGTCGCGGTCCCTCAAGCGCACCGCACCCGGAAGATACAACGTGCACTGTTGGCCTTCGGGCACAGCGCATGGAATACCAGCACCCACAGACGATCTGTGGAGCTGCTCCAGCCGCCCGCGCGTCGAGAATGTCTCGAAGCGTTCACGGGCATGCTTAACCCGCTCTCGGTAAGCAGCCGGTTTCTTGTTGAAGTTCTCAACAAAAGCGTTCCAACTTTGACACTGCCACTCAGGCACTTTGCTGCGAGAAGAAGTCTTCTTGCTGGAGAAGTATCGGAGCTCGTGGAAGAGCCCGATGTAATAATCGCGCCTTTGATTCGTTAACGGATCAAAGTGCTGCTCCTCCGCAACAGCATCGTCGTGGATACCGCTGCATACGTACAGCGGGATTTCGTTTGGAGGCACAGTGTTGCCCGCACGGTCTGCGATCTCTGACGCAGACGGCATCCACGGATCGCGCGCTGCCTGAGCAGCGCGCGGAGAGCTTAAAGCCCCAGCAGCAGAGAGCGGAGTTTCGCTCTCGCCGCGTGAACGCTTCGAGCATCGAAGCATCCGCGTCGTCTCCTTCACGAGGGCGTCTCGATCCGGCATGCGGGTCGAGACTATCGCTGTCGATAGACTCCTTGCGCTTGCTGGAAGAGGCCTCGCCCTCTTCCATCTCCACGTCGCCGTCCTCGAAGTCAACGGCGTCGTTGACTACAGAAGAACCTTCGAGGACAATCTCCGGTTGAGTTGTCCCCGCCGCAGCCTTGGCAGCAAGAGCGTCACGCTTTGCTTTGAGACGCTCGCGGTACTCGGAGATAGAGAGAGTCTCTATCCCGGCGGAGGACTTCCCCTCTGCTGTAGCGTTGGTCTTCTTCTGAGGCGAGCTCATTGCGGAATGAGCTCGAGTTTCTTTCTCCCAACGTGAAGAATGACAAATGGTCAATTTCCTGATTGACGTGCGGTGACTCGGCGCGTCTAACCTTGAGGGGGGGGTAACAGGGTTACACGCACAAGTGGCTACAGTCACTTGTGACTTTAACAGACACGACGTCTGTTAGAGGTTCGAAAGACTTTCTCGTCCATGGTGTAGACACACCAAAGGCTACATACATTTACGATCACCACGACGGGTGGTCCATAGAGACTTAGGATTCCTATTGGCTGAAAGCAGCATCTTTTAGCCAATGAGCGACATGCATAGCATTGGAATTCTGCCAACCAGCCGTTGGCAGATTCCCAGTTTAGATTATTACATTTAGAAGAAGTCAGAAACATAAAACAAAAATAGCAGTTCTCATTTTAACCCAAAACATTATTTGGATCGTTTATTTAGATTAATCTATACTCGGAGGCCCGAGTATAATTAACTCTAGTTTAAACCAAGCTACGCTTCCTCGTACACGTGCGCACACGTGTAAGCTAAAGTAGTGAGCCAAAGTAGGCCCATTACGATTGTAGTTGTCTATCTTTTCATGAAACACATTGAGAACAATGAGTGCGTCTTGACACAAAGGATCTTGAGCAGCAAACACAGAGTTATCGTTGCCTTCGTCGTATCGATGAAACTGCTCACGCGTCTTGCATTCCTTCGAAGCTACCCATTCCATCAGCTCCGCCATTGTCGATACGTCGAACAGCCCGTTCG